CAAATTATACTAGGAATGTGTACAATTTATAAGGCGAAAAAGCCTAACAAATACGCCAAGGGCTTTGTCTATTTATTTTGATAGTGTATGAAGTGTCATATCAATATTGCAAATTTTGTATTGACACCCCACCCAATATTTAACAAAATTCGAAAAATAACAAAGAGCATTAACAATTAATTTTTATGGAATATAAAGTTTTTTTTTCAGTTTATCTACGTATATTTATAACGCACCTGTATTAAAAAACAAACAAACAAACAAATTTAAAAGCAGAAGTTTATTTCATCCCCTACAGAAGTATATGCACAAAAACAAAAAAAGTTTGGCGTATTTGGCGTGCGATCTGCAGGAATCATGTGTACGAAACATTTATGGCTGAAATGTCCACGATTTTGTCGGCTTACCAGAAGTGGACGGGCTTTACCAAGTTACGCACATAAGAAAATGTTTAGATGTACGAGGGGTGATCAAAAAATTCGCGAACTAATTGGATTACTTCCTTAAAAGAAATAAAATGAGGTTTCAGTGTTCATGATGTTTTAAAGTAGACTACTAAAGTAGTATATAGTGGAAATACCCGCAGTTCCAACTACAATTTCTACTACACCCAGTGTACTATCTGCTTCCAACACCAGCCAATCTCCACAGATGGGATCTCATACAAACTCCATAGTGCCCCCTTTGTGGAAAAAGAGGAACCCTACAGCACATACTATCCTCCTGCCAGGTGGCATTATCACAGGGAAGATACACATGGTGTCATAATCAGGTTCTAAAAGAGATGGCAGTCACTATAGAGAAAGAGCAGAAGAATAAAAGCAAACAGACAACAGTGAAACAAACACAGATTTGCTTAGTTTGTAAAAGAAGGTGAAACAGCGAAGAAGAGAGAAGAGAATACCTCCGGAATACTTAACCAGACAGACGATTAGAAGGTGGCTGTAGATCTAGGTCAGAAACTGACATTCTCAGAGATAATTCCAACTAATCTCAGGCCTGATATGGTACTGTGGTCATCAAATACAAGGAAGATCATTGTCATAGAGCTAACAGTTCCCTGGGAAGTAAGATGCGATGAAGCCTATGAAAAGAAGAAGGCAAAATACGACCCATTGCTGGCAGAATGTAGGGAGAAAGGATGACAGACCTGGAACTATCCAGTAGAGGTTGGATGTAGAAGCTTCCCGGCACAGTCAGTTTAGAGGATGTTTTCTAGGCTAATTGTGACAGGGAGAAGTAGCTATAGGAGAACAGCAGTCCAAAGGATGGCCCAAGCAGCAGAAAGATCATAAGGCTGGGGTTGGATAAAGAGAGACACTAGTAGCTGGATACTCACCCCAACGCGCAATGACTGATCATCACTGTGGACCCCCATCCTGAGAGTGTACCGAGCTAGGGGTCGAAACACACAATGAGAGATGGCCTCGGCTGAGGACGTTGATGGTGTAGCAGCAGTATAATCACAGCTGTATGTAAGTAACTCTCCGATTTTAATGCACATCTGCCATTGTTCTGCCCATGCGCGAATCACGTGATCCAGACAGTCACGTGGCATGCCCCGTAGCAGTCTGTTCACAGAAGCTAAAAGATTTTTCCGAGTCTTATATTTCTTACCATGCAAGTTATTTTTTTATAACATGAACAGTCCATCTGTCAGAAATGGCCAAATCTCGGCAATAGGATGGGTGGATAATTAAGGATATCCCTTCCCACAATTAGTATGGTGACCCATCACAGCTCGAGTCCTCTGTCTCTGGAGCGTCGTTTATCCAATGTGGATAAAGTATGGGCGCCTTCTTTTTATCATATCTAAGATGTTTAAAGTCTAAAGTAAACGATATTTTAGGGATTTAATAATTATATTATTGTTAAGATATTCAACTATTTTTCTAATTGCAACTTGACGATGTTTCATAGCAAATTGCTCAACTAAGGACACATCTTTTTCCCGGCTTGCTTTCGCTGGGCAAGAGAACAAACATTTTTTACCAACTCCATGCCTTCACTTTAAGAATCAATCCGATTAATGATTGAACTTCTGGTATGTCTTTTGTCTTCATAAACCTTGTACAAATTATCATATTCTACTGCAAAGGAATTACATAGATATACGTTAAACTTTACAGCCGTTCGTTGCTCGAGTACGACTGAGTCAACCATGCATTTTTTTTCACAAGTGACCTACATATTGACGTCATTTTCACATTGTGACGTCACAAACACGGAGCAAAACATTATTCAAAATCTGTTATTTATAGAACATGTGTATGACTATATGTGTGCCAAATTTCATTTTGATCTGAATTGTGGTTTTGTAAATATAGAGATAGTTTGCGAACTTTTTGATCACCCCTCGTACATTGAAATAGCTTTCAAATTTGAAATAATTTAGTCAAAATATCTTAAAAGTTACGATAACACAGTAATACTTCACATAAATAATAAACACCTAACAAGATGATAGGGTATGATATATGAAATGAAGTTTCAGGAGGTTTGCAAAATTGCTTTTGCTCCCCGTGCAACTGAACCAAAATTTATCTCTTTTAAAACTTATAAATCAGTAAATAAAATTCACTTGACTGTCTGTATAAAAAAAAAATGCTCCATGCGAAGATCGAATCAAAAACTTCTCGACTCCTAAATGCGCTGGACTGGTAACGCATACTCTTGAGCTATCATCGCTACACAAACACTCAGGAATTTAAAATGAAAAGAAGCATGCAACGCATTTAAACATTGTTTTTTTTTTGTTTTTTTTTTTGTTTTTTTTTTTTGGAGAAAGTTCATTTTTTATAGTCTCTGGGTCTTCCCTCAATACAAATGCACACAAATGTCTTTTTTAAATCATGGAGAGATGACCCAGAGATAACAATTTTTTTTTTTTAGAAAAACGTGTTTAAAAATGTAACATTTTGTACCAATGACGCATTTAGCCATGTTTCAAGTTATTTTTAAGGAAATCAAAAACACTTTTGGGAAAAATGTTTTCCTTTCCTATTTCATAGAAACATGATACATCAAAAGAATGTTAAAATTTAATTTTACAGTTCAATAAGGTTTTCACATTTTCAGGTGCGCAACGATTCCTGCCGAATGTCAATCAAAAACGCCCTCGTTCTTTATCCATTGATGTGACAAGTCCGACCATGATTGACAGTGTTTATTATATCATTTACACACGCAATACTTCTTTCAGGATTGACATGGGATTTCAGTTCAACAGGACATTTCCAGGAATTAAGTTGCACACATATATATGTATTTAAATATGCTCCTGATGCTTTGTGCAGTTTGGGCTGCTGGACTAGTTAACGGATTATACAGAGAGGAGTTCCAAAGAAATTTTCAATGTGACGCAAATAGCGTGAGTATTTATAGATTTCCAGCTGATTGTTGTTGACAATTAATTGTTAAGAGTGTCACCGTATCAATAAATATATTGACTGGTCAAAAGGTCTTGGATTTTTTTTTTTTTTTTTTTTTTTTTTTTTTTTTTTTTTGCTTTGATTATGACAAAAATTGTTTTATTTAACTACTTTCCAAAAATCTTTCAAAAAGAAAAAGCAAAATTCTACGCTTCCCATCGAAAACCTCGTTAGTCGAAAAATGTGGAAAATGCATTTTAAAATTTTTTTTTAATAAAAAACTGAGTATTCATGTACTCTTAAAATAGAACGCCAATCAGAAATCCAGGGGGAAAAAATCCGCAAACAGTGATAAAACCTCGTGTAATAATTCGTTACTTATTATTGTTGTGGATCTATAATGTTTGTAAACAGTTCATTTTATATTTTATACAAACATAGCTTAAATATAGCCTTGAGGTCCATATATATATATATATATATATATATATATATATATATATATATATATATATATATATACATGTATATATATATATATATATATGGATTGACCGAATGAAAGGGCTACATATTTGTTACATTATTTTGTAAAATGGATATATTCGTTACATTATTTTTTTTATTCCAGATTGTTAAATTGTAAAGAAAAAATATTGTTAGAAAGTACGCTCAATCCCAGTATTCAATATTTTACCACATTCACCATCCTCACAATGTCAAGGTTTTTGAACTCCACACAAACCCTTGACATAAGTCGTTATTTAAAAGTTGGGCTAGAAAGCTACTATTTCATTTGTTCCTGGTCTAGGATTGGAACCAATCAGAAAACAGCTTATATTGTAGGTACATGTAAGTTTTCTAAACAAATATGACTCGTTTTTAAAATGGAAAGTGTCAATATTGTAGGATTTGTGACTAGTTACTTTAAATGAAACATCGGGGATTAATTTTTTGAAGATCGACCTCCTTACAATCACAAAAGATATGCTCTGGAGTTGGGCAATTTGATAACGGCGGATTTGAAAAATATAATCTCATTGGTTAGTTTATAATTACCCATTACGTCATGTGTAACCACAAGCTCAACCTTTAAATAACGACTTATGTCAAGGGTTTGTGTGGAGTTCCAAAATCACAAAACCTTGACATTGTGAGGATGCACATTCACTGGAATAGAATTTTGATTTGTTTGAATGACACAAGCCAGCAAATCACGTTCATTTTTAAACGGAACAAAACAACCTTTATCTATTATAATTACTGATAATTGCCTGTACAAGAAATTTCAGAGAGCGAGTCGTGAGTCAATGTAAATTTTGTGATTTAAGGTCAATTACATGTGCATGTGCACAAATTAACATCTGCTGTAAGTCTAACTTGCGATTTTTGGGTGGCCGACTAAGAAATCAAATTCTGCTAATTTCACTTGGTGTATCTGCATAATGTTACCATGAGCTTTGGGCGTAGGGAGGGAGCGTAGGGGAAGTACCAACTTTCCTTAAAATCTGTTGCCAATTTGATATGTATAAGTGCAAGCAATAGGTGATACAGTAAGAATATGAATATCAACTAATAGTATTGAGTGCAAGGTTTTTTTTTTTTATTTCATCTTCTGAATTTCCACAGATGGTATCTATGGGATATCCAGCGATATCTGGTCCCAAATCCCTTAATGATAGGATTGCTATTGTCGGGGCTGGGATCGGTGGAGTACATATGGCGTCTCTACTCAAGGTTGGTAAACAGCGATATATTATGGCCTATAAATACTTAGTTTGCTCATGCGCATTGACGTAAAATTTGTAAATTACATTTACAGGAAAGAGGTTTCAAAAACATAAAAATTTTTGAACAACGACAGGAAGTTGGAGGAAAAGCCTATTCCCGATTTTACAGAGGAGTTTGGAATGAATTTGGAGCACTTTTTCTGAGCGATATCTATGACCAAGTAGCCAAACTGGTAGAGAGGTATACTCCTCGCCTCAAAATCGTATCCAAAGCCCCATCTTCTGTATCAGTGAATGATAACGGTTAGTGATTTCAAGATTTTTAAATCTATATACCATAATAAGTTATAATTACGATAAAAACATTAACACCTGACACAGGAGAAATGAATATTTCACAGAACCTCAAGAAAGGGAAATTTCTTGAAATGTAACTAATAGCAGGCATGCATGTGGGTTCATGATGCTCAGGAACAAAGACAGACGAAACTACAGTTTCGTTTGAGCTTGCCCAGTTGCACTGAACTATAATATACTCCCCATTACAAACCCCTCCTAATTTTACATTAGTCAAGCAAAACCGAATTTATTTTAAAAGTAATTGGTATATATCTTTGATAACGTAAATCAAAATAAATACCGATAATACTGAATGTTTTACTGTAATCTAATCTTATTTTAAACTCTAGAATTTACTACCTGGGGGAACCTTTTGATTCAGAATACAGGGGAGACGTCTCCACAGGCTGCCAGCCGCAGGATCCAAGATGCTGTGGCGAGGTACGATAGAATCCACCGCTGTTTGTTTGGAAACTATTCCTTCGAACTTATGCCTCGACCAACTCCCAAAGTTCTCCAACAAATTCAAGGAACTGTCCAGGATTTCTTACATCGGCATGACCTTATGTTATTGGCACCTATATTCAGAACCTTTCTGACAGCAAATGGATACGGATATATCAACGAGACTGCAGCTATATACGGTTTGGTTTGGTTGCCACCAGTAGCAGTTAAAGGCGTTTTTACACCCGAAAATGGATTCTGGGTTTTACTAGGAGCATTTCAATCGATTGTAACCGAGATTGCCAGACAAAATAAATTACATATACATCTAGGAGCCAACGTCAACGGCATTCAAAGACTACCTGGTCCTGGAGGCATTCATATAACTTACTCAACGAAGGGACATCCAAATATTTATACTGAGCATTTTGATTTTTTGATACTTTCCCCAGCGATGAATTCTTTGTTGGATATAGTGAATTTCAACGTAAAGGAAAGGAGTATCTTTAGTCGACTGACGAATGCAAACTACATCTTAACTCTGGTCGAATCCGACATTGGTAGACGCGGCAATGATCCTCAGGTGTACTACAACGATGCCATTGAGCAGCCCACGTATCCCGTATATGCCGGTATTAATTTCTACCATGCAAAAAACAATATCAGTGGTGATGACCATCGCCTTGGGATTCGGGAAAATGGTCCAGATGGGCGTCCACAGGAAACTGTTATGTATTATCAGTACGGCTATGAAAATCCTTGGGCAAAGGATATCGATGTTATCATCCAGTCCAAGTTAGCCTCAACCTTGAAGAGATTAGATAAGAGGAACCCAAGAGTTCTGGAACAAATAAAATGGGGATATTATTTTCCCAGGTTTCCCCCCAGAGAGGCCGACCGTGGCTATCTTTGGGATGTATTAGATATGCAAGGTCAGTTCAACACGTGGTACATAGGTTCCTCCGTCTGTTTTGAAAGCATGGAAAGCGTGATCGAATACAATAATCTGATAATGAGAATAATGAAGATATAAAATTAAAAAAATAAGTTAGTAACAGGCTATGTGCAGGACAATTGTTGTTATCATTATATTGTGCATCATATCATCTGGTTGCAAAAATACTATTAAAACATATATATTTTATAAAGAAAACGTTGAACTTAGCTATATTAAACTTTAAATTCTCGAATGCAATGGATATGTCGAAGGGAGTTTTCAAAAATCACAACCACTCTTTATACTCCCCGCAAACGATTTTTTTGGGGGGTGGGGGTGGGGAGTATTCAGAGATGTAAATAAACTTCCGAAAATGAATAGAAACATGCAAATATTAACAGCAAATTTACAGCAAATTTTTGTTTTGCTATATCTGTCACTTGGATTAAAATCTCCAATCGATGACGTCAAAACTGTTCAACAAGAAACTTGAGAATTGATGATGTTGGTAACGAGGATATGTATGAGGCGCCGTTTTGGTATTTACTGCCAAAAAGTGATATCACCTATTCGAATAGGTGATATCACCTATTCAATTGGTGATATCACCTATTCGAATAAGTGATATCACCTATTCGAATAGGTGATATCACCTATTCGAATAAATGATATCACCTATTCGAATAAGTGATATCACTTATTCGAATAGGTGATATCACCTATTCGAATAGGTGATATCACCTATTCAATTTGAATGAGTGATATCACTTATTCGAATAGGTGATATCACTTTTTGGCAGTAGGTGATATCACTTTTTGGCAGTAAATACCAAAACGGCACCTCATAGATATGGCTAAGACGGCATGTACAAAGATACGTAAAAGGGGCTTTAGAAGTAAAAACCGTGAATATTGTGTGATTCATATGGAGTTAAAGTTTGTTAAACAGGTATGCTGATTTATTTTCATCGATTATACCTTCAAATGGAGACAATCAGTTATTTACGTATCCCGCGGTCGGCCTTTCCTCTGTCATTTGTGAAAACAAAAATGCAATAGAACAACACTAAGCTGGATACTTCAAAACATAAGATTTGTACAGATCGAAAGCTTGCGTTCTATATTACTTGGAAAGTGCTTCTAGAATTGTGAGGTAAACATCGTTTGAATAAATATATCGAGATTTTTTTTTTCATCTCTATTATTTACTCATAGAGAAATTTTTAAACCTCGGGATAGTGTTGTTCTGTTAACGTTTTTATTAAGGAATATTTTTCTATTAATAGCAGTAACGTGATAACGTATGTAATAGAGTGTATCCATGGATAAAACAAATACTGTAGATCAGTAAATTTTTACTACACCTTATTTTCGCGAGATAGATATTGACTCTTTATTAGCGAGACTGAATATCTATGCGTACTTAAAAAAGTGAACTTCATATTTTAGCGGCTTTGGCACGGACAACGATGCGCTAATTCATGAATACAGCTATATAGTCTGTCCCACGGTACCAAGGACCTCACTTTTCGCCTCAAGTCTCGGCAATCTCGGTTACAATCGAGCCTAGTTTGAAGGCCAACTTGAAGGTATTTATACATTTTGAGATATGAGGCGTAAAGTGAGGTCCTTGGTACCGTTGGACAGACTATAATAAATCATTTACTACTACAATATGTGGCACGGACATGTGTAGCGCTAATTCATGATTACGCCAACAATTCCATACCCCTTGATTGCGCTAAAGTTTGAATTCGCCAATTTATGTACACGTGCAGTACTCACGAATTGTGGTTATTGCTCTTTATAATCTTTAGGAATACTAATATAAACGAGAATGAAATTTTCGCAAGCACGTTGTCTCGCGTAATTACGCGAAAATAAAGTTCTTGTGAATAAAAAGTGATTAACAGTATCCAGATTGCTTTTCTCATGCATGTTAACATAAAAAAAAAACATTTGCCAAGCAAAACTACTTTAACCAAATTAATGCGATTTGTAATTTTTTTTAATGAATTGGAGGTTCATGAAATGTGATTAAACAATAAATAAAAGGCACCATAGAGATACAGTAAATATCAATATTTTGATTGCATCTTTATAGCTTGAAGCTTTGTAAGATGGAAGCTGAAGTGCAGGAAAATTCATAAAATACTAGACAGGTCAATACTCTCGAGTTTGATAGTAAATTTTTCTCGTTGTTTGGTTTCAATTGATGGATATGGCTTGTTTCTCACTTAAAGCATTTTCATCCTCATCTGATGTCTTATGTAAAAATCTTTCACTCATTGAATTGCCAAATAGAATTGTATCTTTGGAATTTTATTAAATGAATCTAATAAAATTTTCACTTATTCGAAATATGTTCTTGCGTACTGAATCATTTGGGAGACAACACACCGATTGCAGGTAATATGGGAAGTTAACGATGGAAAAGCTGAAGTCATCATGATTGTCATACAGCTTAGTTATTACTTATCCATTAACATCTATAATCAGTATAATATCTTAAAATGACATAACATCGCAGACCTTTTACGAGTTAATCTGAGTGAAATAAGAATGAAAAGTACGAATGTCAAAGTATAAAACGTCGTTGACATATCCAAACATCGAATTAAATGCAACACGAAGAGTTTTCTTTTTTTATTTGTATAATGCTTCATAAACTAAAAACTAATTGGTTAACAATTAATACCCACTGAAATTCGAACAGACTGTTTGAAAGCCCGGCCCAAGGATCTTGAAGCAGACTTAGACTTCAATCAAAATTTCGAAGATCTGTATAATGTTTTATTTGTGTACTAAACCTCTTTATTTGGAATAAAAATGATGAAGCAATGCTGAAAAGTGTTTTTCATATGCTTGTTTTCTAATCATTCCTTCGCAATAGAAGATTAAAATGTTCCATGATCCCAGGGCCACCTATCCAAAGACTGCATATACTTATTGAATTGCCGAGAATGAACTATAGTATCTTTTTTCATATGTGTCAACTATTTGTCGTACGCATAATTTTATGGCTTTCTGTGACAGATAGTTTACTTTTCCCTCTTCGTGTCGTCTGCCATGTCACCTAAATTCGGTGATCTTTCTACTCGGTGAGATCGTTCTCCTTGGTGGGACGGTGATAGCGATGATAAACGAATCTTAATCGACGTAAATTGTCTGTTCGTGATCATATTACGATTCTCTGGCAACATGCAATCATTTTCCATTTTAAATATGGAAAATTATACGGTTGGCTAGAATAGTAGAGTTGTAATTGTTTTTGTTACTTTATCCTTTATAAGAATTTTAAGAGATGTAATTTTCGTCATGATAGTGAAGATGTCAAACTTATGGTATCTTGGATAACGATAGCATTGAAAAATTATTTATCTTTTTAAGTTGTCACTAATACTTTTAAATATAGTGATATTCAACATTCATAAGTTGGTTTGGCTCTTTTTCTATAAAGATATCATTTTATAACTTTGCTATGTCCCCTTCTTTGATTCTACAAATTAGAATTACAGGGTATTAAAATATACAGGTACATCACATCATTTTCAAAAAAGGAAAAATGGAAGACTTTTAAATTGTGTAAGTCACGTCAAACCGTTCCACTTGTATCGTGCTTGTAATTTAACTTTTAAGTACAGTGCACCATTGAATTTTTTAAACTTAATCATATCTTAGAAGAGATTAAGGCTTGATAAAAAAAATATATATTCCTCCTTTGAGTTATATGTTCATACACTAATTAAATTCATTTTAGAAACTGTCGACTTTTTAGGTTCCTTTGACATGTTTAAATGCCTTCGTTTTTTGAAAACAAACTTATTCAAAACCTTTATTAAAACTATATATATACAATGTGATGTAAAAATAACAAGCTCAGTATGACTTTTAAGGAATTTTTGTGATGTTGCTATATATTTAGACAACAAGCCCCTGTGACCATTTAGATGCACTATTAAAGGTTGATCTTTCTAATGTAATTGACTTTATTCCCGGATTTTTCTTTCTTTCTTTTTTTCTCTCTTTATGAAGAGGTAAGAGGTTTTGGTTTATATTATATGTGTAGATATTTTTTTTCTTTTTTCCTGTTATCTTTTCCTTCTCATTTATATATACTTCCAGGGGATGTATCAGGAACACCCCATACCTCAGCTCTATGAAGTTCATCAACATGAGCAATCTTCTGTGAGCAACCAAAAACCTAGCTAACTCTGAAATCTCTTAAAAATTAGATATGCTCAAACACATCTTCGCTAGATAAACTTTAAAGATTAAATATAGAATTTTAATTAAGTTGAGATATTCTAAATTAGAAATATGATCCATTTCTAAAGCATGTGTTAGTCATGAAGATTTGTTTTCGTTCAAATAGTAGATCACATGTTTATTAGCAAGGGTTTCCGCGTTCCAACCCTAATATAATTCGTTCAATTGAGAGTAGTGTTTGTGTGCATCTGGATTTGTATCTTTAAATGTGTTAAAATGTGCATGAAGTCAGTCAATGTGAATGAATGTTGTTTATAGGTAAGTTTATCAACTGGAAGACAGATTTTTAGCTGGAATCCTAACAAAATATACTATTCTTAACTATAGTTGAGTATAGTATCAAAGTTTTGCAGTAATTATTCTAAAGCAAAGTATTTTACTATGGATTTTAGTTTGTTATATATTATGTTCTCCAATTCATACATGCACATTTTTGATATTAAATAGAATTTTTACATGTATATTCAAGTATTATTTCCAAATATTACACCATCAATATTGAATTTACGAAAGTTAAGCTTTGAAATCTAAAAAAAAAAAAAAAAAAAAAAAAAAACACACACACACACACACACACACAAACAAAAACAACTAATTAAAGTGTCAGAGTAAATCAAAATATCATTTTTTTACCATAGTTAACTAAAGTAAACTATAGTTACAATGTACATGTAATTATATTAAATTTTTGTTAGGAAAAAGTAATTTATGTTAGAGCTCAGGTATCTCAGTCAGATAAATCCTGCTCTGGTCTTTTTCATGTTTCCCCTTCCTATCTTGTCTACATTTGAATCCTGTTTTGGCAAGTCAGCCGTATGAAATAACTG